TTTCTATGACGACATGACATGGCTAGGTTTCTTTTCTGCTAATCACGAGAGGGCGCTCTCAAGTAATTTAATGATTAATTTTGACTGCTGTTTGTATTTATTTTCTAATTTCTTATTTTAAAAAAACCCAAATTGTATTCAATGGATTTTTTTTTCAATTGATTTGTGTTCTGAAGCCATTATACGATCACGTGTCACGGAAAATATTTTGTTGGAACTCACTGTAATAACTTTGTGAATTGCGCAGTCTGTTCAGCGCTCTGCTGTGATAGATAAGTTGACCAGTAGGGAGGCTAAATGTGCCATTCGTGTTTCTCAACCACCAATTGCAATAAATTGCTTAAAATCCAACCTACTGGCCTCCGCTGTGTGCATGATGGGATGGGTAAGAGAGTTGTCACATAAATAACATTGAATGTAGTCAGATTTCAGTGTATTTATGTGAGTTTTGACGCTCTGTAGTTTGTCCACAGAAAAGGTTTGCGTGGCTGCCGCATATTTTCACGCAACCAAAAAAGTGTGCATATATTTACGCAAACTTTGACGCAAAGTTAATTTTTATACATGTTGACTTGTGCGTAAAATATGGCGCCACACATTTTTTGTATGCATGCATGCTTTATGCATGAGGCCCCAGGACAACTGATCTCTCCTTGGAATTGATCTAATTTTCTTGACAAGAAGAGTGGGCAAAGGAGAGCCTTCTTGCCCCATCGTGACACATGCTGTTGGATACATTATGGATTCCTGGGGGAAGTGGAAGATCGTCTGTCCACATTGTCAGCCAAGGATGTTGGAGATGGGTATATAATTGGATTTCTGCTTTTTGGATTTGATAGTTAACTAGCATATCGAGAAGTTTGTGACATGTCGGCAACTATTGGGACCATTGATAAGCTGCCAGGCTACGAGGGAACGTTCCATGATGTAAACACTCAGACTCCGACACTGTCAGCAGAATTGCAAACTGGAAGCGATTCTTGCTGAGAGTCGCAGACCAATTGTGGTACCTGAAACTCGCTGGCAGCAAGGAACACACCTTGGTGAAGTTACAAGCTTGGCTCAGCTGGACAGACTACAAATTTGGCTGTTTGGGAGTGACCACTGAAATATATTAGTGAAACTTTAAGGCAGATGGAAAATTAACGGAGCCAGTCTGACCCAAAACGATTGTTATCTGAACCAGCTCCCCCTGTGTAAGCCTGTGATGAATGGCTATTTCAAATTCTGCATGATGTTATGTAAAAACAAAATGCTCTGCTCCCATTTCCGTTCCCTTTCCCATGACATCTATGGACCTGAATCAGAGCTCTACTGAGGCTGTTGATAAAAGTTCTATCACCTATCAAGAACCATGGCCAAGGAGGTGGAGGGGGGGTTACTTACAAATGTATACATGGACACACACATGAATAGCTATAAACACCCCCCTACCTTCAACTAGGACCTCCTATCCTTTGCCCCCCCACCCTCCTCCCCTCAGTATGACAACCTAGGCTGATGCAGTGCCCCACGTGGCAGCATTGTTCACTTGGGCAGCCCCTCCCTCCCATCTCCTACTCCACCCTCTCAACATGACAACAAATGCTATTCTTATGCTCAGCCTGGGCCCAGCACTAAAGTCCAATAGGGGCTTTTGTGTGTTGCTTTCCTGAGCTCTCCTTTAACCTGTCATTCACAGGTTGTCATTCACAATGACAGGGGTGTCAAACTCCAGTCCTCAAGGGCCGCTGTCCTGCAGTGTTTAGATGTGCCACAGGTAAAAAACAGTGGAATGAAATGGCTTAATAACCTCCGCCCTGTGTAGATCGGTTCTCCTGAGCCTTTCTAATGACCTAATTATTCTTTTCAGGTGTGGTGCAGCAGAGGCACATCTAAAAGTTGCAGGACAGCGGCCCTTGAGGACTGGAGTTTGACACCCCTGTCACGAGAGGACCCAAATTTGGGTCCTCTCGTGAATGACAGGTTAAATATAACTTCATCCAATTTCACCTGAGATGGGGACTGTGTTGTGTCCTCCTCTTCATCATCCTCTTCCTCCTCTTTGGAGTGCTTCAGGGTTGGGGATGTAGCGTGGGAGTCCACAGTGATGTTGGTGACCTCCCCCTCCTCTTCCTGGCTGGGAGGTCTGGCTGATGGGAGGCTGTGCAGGAGGTGGTGAATCCGGATGTAGTGGGATCTTGGCGTCTCTGGCTCCCCGCATGCCGAGGCGATCACTGTCTCCAGCTCTGACACAGGCAGGGAGCAGGGCCGAGCTTTACGCCGTGACAGAGCTTGGAAGTTGTAGTTGGAGGAGAGAGACTGGCAGGAGCAGGGTTCACAGCTGCTTTCTCCTTTCTCATTGGGCTCCTCTGAGGCTCCTGGGGCAGAGTCTACACAGTCTTCCTGTGTTGGGGCCGCCTCCCCAGATGGCGCCTCTACAGCAGCACCAGTGGCCCCTCCATTTGTCTCTGCCTCTGTAGGGCAGTCTGAATCTGACTCAGGGTGGGCTGCACCCTCAGCCTCTTTGTTCTCCTCTCCAGTTTTCCCTCCCTGTTCCTCTTCTCCATTGCCATCCTGCCTTTCAGGTGAAGGCCCATCCCCTGGCTCTCCCTGAGGCTGTAAAGCCGAGGTCTCATCCTTAACTGTGCTCTGCTCCTCCACTCTTCCTGGTTCCACCTCTGCAGCCCCGCTGTCTTCTTGCTGATCAGTAAGAGGGATGTCCTGGCTCTGTGTTGCTGGCGTTGAGGTGTCGGTGTCCAGAGGAGCATCCAGAGGGAGATCCGGCATATCGAGGCTCACATTGAGTGTGTCGTCATCAGCTGCATCAGCTGCATGGTTCCCTTCAGCAGGAGTTTCTACCTCATTGCAAGCTAGCTCCATGACCAGAGAAATCTCCTCATCATCTGCAGGCAGAATGCAACAGTTCATTAAATGTACATTTAGATGTTGATGAATCAGAGCTGCATCGACAGTCAAAAGTTTGCATATCCTCATCATACACTGTTATACTTTGAGGTGTTCAGAGACAGATGATCTCGTTTATAATTGGCATAGTTGTACAGGGAAATCTTCTGTGATGGTGACAGCATAACTGATTGAATTGGTGATTTCTTTCCAATCAACATGCGGTTAAAATTGCTGTTTAAAAATCTCTCAGCAAATTTCATTTTAGCCTACAGGACTAGAGACGGGGCTTCTTTATTATAGAGTGGGCATCCTCTCACTCTATGATATTGTGAAATAATTTTGAACAGTGAAACTGGTGTTTCAATTGTTTCTAGTTCATGGTCAGTTTGAGTGTTGATGGTTACAGGGCTTTCCATAAAAATCCAACCAATTCTTTATTTGACAGTTTGGGTCAAATTATTGTAAGTTTCACAGAATGGAGATTGAACAGGACAGCCCACACCAAACTGGTTTTACATTCGATAAAGCCTCATCCTTGTTCAATATATGTGGACTTTGATTAAAAGTGGGGGCCTGGCCAGGAAACCAACCACTTTAGATGAACTGTAACATTTATGTCAGAATTATATACCAGGATTGTAAAGCAAGGTTGTTGGTCGCTTTAAAGCAGTGGTCCCCAAACTTTTTCAAATAACTTTTCCCTTCTCTGGTGGGGCCTGGAGATTGTTGACGGGATGGGAGGGGGACAGGGGGGGGGGGGGGGGGTTGGCAATCTTTT